CCTTTGAGCAGAACGAATCACTGGACACTTACTATCTTATTGAGCTGGCAGACCTAAGCTATTGCGAGCAAACTCTCCGTGAATTCGCCAAAGATCGCCTGGATGGATATCCTTTTATAGTCAAGAAATATGACAGCAAAGCGACGCCTCTTGAGAACGAGGCTCGCATATCAAAATACGAAAAAGGCGTCAGCATAACGTTCTACGGGGTTTGATGCCAGAAGCTGACGTCGAGTTCAGAGAAAAATCGCTGCTTTAAATAGGCGTACACATTGCATATAGCTATTTCAACTTTCAATAGTGTAAATACATGCTCTGGTTGGCTCAGCAATGTGGAGCGCATATTGATGAATGGAAGTGCTGCCATTGTCCCTGGCCGTTGTCCGAAAGACAGTGGGAAGCTGCATGGCGGATGGCGGTGCTATTTCGGGCATCGCATTGCCACAATAATTGCGGGGCCGCATACAGCACAAACCAAAGCAGTTGCAGCTGCCGGCAAAAGAACAATGTGAGATGACAAAACGGCAGCGGTGCTCGGCAGCATGAGGGGAAGCGACGCATGGGATGGCTACAATAGCGCCCTCCAAAGCGGAAACGAGAGCCGGGGGTTAGCCTAAAATGGACAAGTGGCGGCGGTGGTGCTATGATTGGGAATTCCTGCGCTAGGCGAATAGAAAAAAAACCAAGGAAAGCAAAGGCAAGCCGCGTGACGGCAACTTCTCGGAACACGGGTGCCAAAATGCTCTCTTTTACGCTTTGTTATTGCCCTGCACATCACCTGCTGCCGCCGGCTATTGCGAACAAGGAGCTTTTTTCTGTTTATTCTGGCGTGGTGGGCCTCCACATGTGGTGCCCAGTCGCCGATCTTCTTTGCGCAGCCTGCACGCCAGCCAGCCTTTAAAGCCCCCGCCTTTCGCCCATCACCATCACTTTCTGTGTGATCCTCATCATATACCCTACTGCTTTCTTTTCTTTTTTATTTTATTTCATCATGGATATCCGGAGACTTGTCAACATTGACCTGCCCTGCATTACGTTTCCGCAGGCGCTGTATAAGATCATGGGCGAGGGCCATACGTGGATTGAGTGGAACAGGGACGGCACCAAGCTGCGCTACAATGACCCAAACCGCCTCATGCGCGAGCTGCAAGGGATGGGATTCAAGGCTCAGGACTTGGCCTCGCTCAACAAGAACTTTAACGACTATGGATTCATACGCCTCAGTGATGCTCGTAAGTCGCGCTACGACCCCTGCAAGCACGCATGGACCATCTTTACTCATTTTAGTTTTTCGCGAGGCGACGAAGAAGCGGTCAGCAGCATCCGCCGCCGCCGAGTACGCCGCACTCGCACATCATCGAAAAAGAGCTCACCCTGCTCTGACGAAGAGTTTTGGTAAACCTCCAGCTTACCCCACACACCAAAACAGACACACAAGCAAAAAAGCGGCAGGTTCCGCTTGCTATTCTTTGTCAGCACAGCCATTGTACAAACAGTCTCTTTCACCAACATGTAAACTTTTTATAATTTAGACAATAGCGAAGAAAAAAGTGCAACACCCCCATCATAACAATAAAGGAACAATAGCGTTTCCCCGCACAACAAAATGTAGCGTCATTCAGGAACAGCGAGCTAAAAAAGAGTGACCAGGCTTTTATTCACATGTTGCAAGAGCTCTGGCCGCTAGAAGCAGGCAAAAGGAAAAAGAAATGAGCTGCACCAACCGGGAATCGAACCCGGACCAACAGCTTGGGAAGCTGCAATTCTACCTTTAAACCATTAGTGCGCTTTGCTTTTGGGCTATTTCGTAAGCATGTCCACCAGCCGTTTCTCCAGCCCCAAAGCTGATTTGCTCTCATCACGTGATTCTAATATTGTGATTAAACTGACAGTTTCATCTATATGAGGAGATTTTGTTTGGTACTTGTTTATAGAGCAATAAAGTCAGTTCACTCTCAGTTCCATCTATATGTGATACTGATACAAGCACAGTTGCATCTAAATATCTATCATGCTCCTGGAAGCAAAGCACATGTTTTGGGCATATATAAAAAAGACCAGCTATGGCCACCAGCAACTACAATTGTAATAATTATAATTACAACCTCACTCACTCTCTTATACTTAGACACTTGCCAAATGCATATACTGGTCATTACTCTGAGCAGCAGCATCGCTGTTGCGTGTGCTGGTAGTACGCTGCCAATTGTCAACCCAGCGCTTGGCGGCTTGGACTTCCCTATAGCATTCAACTTTGCCCACCAGTTTGACCCGAGCATTCTCAGCAAGATACACGCTATTGCAGATATCGATCTTTTGGTGTAGCAATAAGTTCTACATATCCAGTTCATTAAATAAAGAATTCTTCAATTCGCAGTCTTAGGCTCTCTCGACGTTGCTGCGAATCGGCATCAACGTCGTTCTCAGCGTCACTAGGTGGACTGGTTGTTGCTTGCTCGCGGTAATTCTCTAGGCAAAAGGCAGGGAGCGCCACTCCAGGCTTAGCAAAGTGCAACAGGCTTTGGCACGAGTAGCACAAGTGCGCAGTGACGCCAAAGGACGAGAGCGGCGACTGTATATCAGCGCTAGGCGCAATGTCATGTTCTAGAGATTGCTCGCTGGGGGCCACATTCACTGTGAGCCGATTCCTCCAAGCCTGTGCGTTGGCTTCGGCGGGCATGCTGCATACGATGCACTGGGCAGCCGTCAGAGCTTCTGGGCATAGCTCTAGCTTTTGTACGGTTCGGCACACAGTTGGTACAGTCGAAACAAAGTCGCGATCTAGTCCTACGACAAATGATTCAGTCAAGCGATCGATAGAGGCAGTTTCCGGAGCGCCAGTAGTAAACGTCGGCACTACGACGCTGGGCTGCCTGGTCCACAAGTTGAAAAAGGCAATCTCCTTCATAATGAGATCGCGCATTGGGCGGTAGGCCATCACGCCACTACTACTACTACCCAGGAATGGCGTCTCGGCTCCAACTTCCAGCGGCAAAGAGAATCCGCGGCCACGACTGGTCAGCGAGACCAGCTTTGAGGCAATGCGCGTGCCCGAGTCGCCCAGTAGCAGTAGCTCGCACTGGGCTTGGCGCGCCAGCCGAGCCAAAAGAAAAGCCTTTATAATGTCCAGCATGTCCTCTCTGTCGGTTGCGGAGCCCAGCCCCGCAAACAAAGCTCGCAGTTGCTCTCTCGCAGGCTTAGACTCGTCGCCCCTTGTCAATTGCACGCAAAACTGGTCTCTAGTCGTACCAGGTGCAATGGTCGCATGCACTAGTTCAAGCAATGCAGCTCGGTCGCCCTCTAGCGCAAAGACATCTTCCAGGCGTGCAACACGACACTCGATGTCAATCGCAGCGGCAATGTCGCATATTTGCGCGTCGTCGTATCCAGAGAATAGCGCAGACTCATCCACGTGACCGGCGACGACGCTAGCATATGTAGGCTCGGCGGCATAGCCCTTCAGCTCCATGCGCTGGTAGTCAGCCATCAATTGGAGCATGGCGCTTGATGTGGCACCACCAGACAGGGCCACCATGACTCGGGCTCGAGCAACAGGCATGCGCTTGCGAGACTTGCTCAGGGCAGTGCGGAACTTTGTTACAGAGGCCCTGACAAAGCAGTCCCTGCAATACAGTGAGCGGCGGATCGAGACGCTTGGTTTAGCAGCTTTGCACTTGACGCACAGTTTGCTTGGAGTTCCCACCACACGCTCTTTCTGCAGCTGGGGCTGTGACTCCATTGCCGGTGTATCTGTTGCGTCGCACATTGTAATTAAAAGGAGGGATCGATGTAGATAGAGTTATGCTTTTCTAATTTTAATGATAGCCCCCCTCTTTTTTGATGATGAAGTCGTTGTATTGGAGCCCTGTATGGGCACGAACAAATGGTCCTTGACATCGGAGACTGCTCCGAGCAGCCCCCCTCTTTTTTTTTTTTTTTTTTTTTGCCGGATCCTCTTTGTTCATGAACCTGATTTATGGTGCCGAGACGTGATTATCTCGGGGTACGACGTGACTCACTCACACACATATGAGTAGAGGAGCTCGGGGAGAAAAGCAGTCCTCTCCTACCTTGCCTTGCATTGCTTATCTCTACAATATTTTTTAACTATGCCCGTTTCATCGTTTGATATCACTCGTGTTATCCGCCCCAACATCCTCCGGTTGGAGCCGTACCGCTGTGCCCGTGACGACTTTAGCGAGGGCGTGCTCTTAGACGCAAACGAGAACAGCTACGGAGCAGCATACAAGTCAAACATCAGTTGTGATAATGGACAGATATGTGTCGAGCCTCAGGCCGATCGCTTGCAGCTGCACAGATACCCAGACCCAAAGGGCTACGAAGTCAAGCAGCGCATTCTCAAGCTGCGGCCAAGCGTGGCTGGCGTCGACAACGTGTTCCTGGGCGTGGGCAGCGACGAGATTATCGACCTGATAGTGCGCATCACATGCCAGCCTGGAAGGGACTCGATCCTCATTACGCCTCCCACGTACGGCATGTACAAGGTGGTCGCCAGCATCAACGACGTGGGCATCGTCAAGGTGCCGCTGGACGTCGAAGACGGTGCGTTTCAGCTGGACGTCGACGCAGTCATAGCAGCAGCCACTGGGGACTCTTCCATCAAGGTGATCTGGCTGTGCTCGCCTGGCAACCCAACTGGCACGATTCTGCGCGAGGCAGACGTGCGGCGGGTGCTGGACTCTGGGTTTGGTGGAGTGGTGGTTGTAGACGAGGCCTATGTGGATTTTGTGCGGCCAGAGCGCGGCGAGTCGTACGCGCGGCTGGTGGCAGAGTACCCGGGGCTGTTTGTCATGCAGACAATGAGCAAGAGCTTTGGCCTAGCGGGGATCCGGCTTGGTGTGGGGATTGGCGGGCGCGAGATAGTGAGCTACTTGAACCGGGCAAAGGCGCCGTACAGCGTGTCCTCGCTGACGCTGGATGTGGCCAAGCACGCGCTGTCCGACGAGGGCATCCAAAAGATGCGCAGCGTAGTCAACAGCCTCCAAGCGCAGCGCGACGAGTACCTGATTCCCAAGCTGCTACAGCTGCCCCGCGTGGGGGCAATTTTGGGCGGCAACGATGGCAACTTTGTGCTGTGCCGCTTTGTTGACAGCAACGGCAACGCGTCCAACGAGATTGCAAAGCGAGTGTACACTGAGATGGCACAGAACAGGGGCCTGGTGGTCCGGTACCGCGGGTCCGACTACGGGTGCGAGGGCTGCCTGCGCATAACGGTCGGGACGGCCGACGAAAACAAAATGGTTATCGAAACGCTTCGCAATGTTCTAAGCGAGGAGGAGGACTGAGCATGGCACGTGCCTGCTTTGATCACGGGAGACAAGCACGAGCATAAGAAAGGCCAGGCGAGGCATGAATGGAGGCACGCGCACCAGGCGACTCTTTCTTCTTCTTTCTTCTCAGCTCAGCTCTTTTACAATATATTCATATCTACTGCTCGCTTGCAAACGGTGGCACCAGTTCTCACACGCGTCCGCTGTAGTAGCTTTTCTCTTCTTCACTCGCCCTGCTTTCTCTTTTTGTTTTTTATACTCACACATGCCCGTAATAACACATCGGCGCGTTAACGAGATGCGCGGCGGGCGGCGGCGGCTCAGCATCGGAGCTGTTGGAGGGCACTCGAGCGGGAACACATTCTTTATTGCTCGCCACACAGCCGGTCGCGGCATAGGCTCGCCCAAGGACTGCTCGGAACACATATCCGGCTCCCTCGAGAGAAGTGGCGCACTAAAGACTCCCCGGCAAATGCTGTCTGCTTCGCTGCCGGCGGCGGCATCGCCTGAAATGACATTTGGGCAGATCCACCCTGCGCTAACGCCGCCAGCAACCCCGCCCCCGCTGTCCGACACGCCGAGTTCCCAGGGTCCGAGCGCGGGAGCCGGAGCTTCAAGCATCAACGTCAAAGAAGAGTTGGATTGTCAGCCCACTCCGCTCGCTTTTAGCTCGTGCCTGCCGCTCACAGGGTCCAGGCCCATTGCTCACCTTGCCGATGATGGGTATGACGTGGCTAGCGACGACGAGGTGCGCAATGAGCCGCTGCCGACGCCCGAGCAGCTGATACTCTCTCAGTCCTGGAGCACTTGGCCAACAGCATGTCACCACTTGTACTCGGGGTCAAAGTTCTCAGGCACGCAGTCTAACGGCACGCGCAGCTACGTGGTGACCGTGACGCTTAAGTATGTCGATATGGGCGTGCCTGAGCTGTGCGGCCACTTTACTATCCGGGGCCTGACTACTGAGCTGCCCAAGCTGACTACGTACTTTGACGCTCAGATAGTCGGGTCCAGCAGCAACTCGTTCGTCACCAACCAGTGGGACGCCTCTGTGGATACTGACCGGACCCACTGGGTAAGTACACTGTCACTTCCTGCACGCCGGGTCACGCGTGGAAGGGAGGCGCCTTGCTCTGCCGCTCTATTGTCTGCGTCCTAACGCTTCCTGGCGTTTGCGCATATATTAATCCTACTAATTGTGTCTACTGCGCTTGTCTGTGTAGAGCTTCTTCCCCGCCTTCCGCCAGCACCGGAATCGATTCGACTGCAGTGACTTCAAGTACCGCCTGAGCATGTCTGACAAGTACATCTTTATGCGATGGAAGGAGCGCTTTGTCGTGCCCAACTACAAGCTCAGCCGCATCAGCGGCGCCAGCTACGACGGCTTCTACTACGTGTGCTATGACCGCGAAGAGGCGTCCATCACGGGCTACTACTTTCACCGCGACTCGGACCACTACCAGTGCCTCAAGCTGGCACATACCAAGCAGACGTC